CACATGTTCAGAAATTTCTTGAGTGGTCCTACTGCTAGGGATCGTAAAGGAGACCTGAAGATTTCTAGAATTGACATGGCGTTGTACAGACCACACTGATTTCGGTAATCTTCAGCCGTAGGTGGTGGTTGTAGCCTCCTCGTGTTTATTGCGATGGTGGGTGCCAGCGCTAAGGATAGTAAAGGACACCTGGTCTAATATCCTACAGGAAGATAGCAGTCACACCGGACAACTATGATACAGGCGATTTGACCTTGGAACCGTCCACCCAAGGGTAAATCCAAAAATCACTAACATACTAGTATGATACCATAACTGGCAAACCTGACTCATAACCCTTCACCCAAGCATGAATCCCAATCACGCTTCCCCACCTCTTATAAAAACGCCATCGCATGGATCTCGCCTCACTGACCACCATCATCAATCTCCCACCCATATGTCGTCATGAACTGTTGTTTCACTGGCCAGTCAAAACACACAACACCAGCACGTTTACCTAGGTGCTTGCGCACCTTGGTTTCTTCCCTGTATACGGTACCGCAGACACAAGCCGTGCTCTCAACACAATCTCGGATGCTCCAATCTAAATCCTGTAGAGAATCAATAAGGCTTGGTCCCTGCGGCCCAATTTCAGAAAATAAGTCAAAATTGGTAAAGAGAATTTGGACGTTCAAGTTGAAGATTTTTGATGTGAGTGAAACAGGTACTTTATTATTGGCCAGTATGTGTAGAATCTGGACTTAGGAAAAGAGGCAAGCAAGAAATTATATAAAAAGATTGGTCGCTGAAGAGTGTACCGTATTGTTGTCCTTCATACCTGGGATAGCCGCCATGTCGCTGGGCGGCTTGTAGCGGTTCAGATAATTTCCGTGCTCCACTCTGGTTCAGCTGTTAGGCCATTTGCACCATATAAAGTAGCAGTACTGTACGGTAGTACAGTACGTAACTGCTCATCTAGAAATGGTTAGCGCGTTAGTAAGAGAAGCGCCTCGCTGGATGATAAGCGTTTCACTAACCTTCTTGGCAGCATTCTCACTGCACCAAAATAACACCCCGGAGCTCTCATTGAACCCCCACAATCGGCTGTGGAAGGGGTATCATAGGTTTATAGAGGACTGAGTGATATTAGTGAAGCGGAATGAGATTCTTTCAATTGTTTTTCCCCTCCCACTGTGGTGCGCCCTCAGGTGTTAACCGTTTCGATCGTTAACTGTGAGTTATGATTTTTAATATGATTGCCGCGCGACCTGGGTTTTCATGTCGCAGGCTAGCACCCGTATACCGCGATGATTTCCTTCAGCACTTTGGAGAAGAATTGTCTGCAGGGACATTTTTGTTGAAAAACCCTGCACTTTCATCTTCTTGTTGGCGTACAATCGAGATTCTTAAGAGGATATTTCAGTGAAGAGTGATAGGCTCATGTATCTGATCATATTGGTAGTATGACATGCATATATTTGTCTTTGGTAGTATAGTGGTTCATATGCTCACCCAGCAGTCTGTCATCCACTACCGGTTAGCGCTCAGATTAGGTAAGTGCAACACTAAGGAGAGCAAGGGTAGAGATTATCCAGTAGAGGGGGATTGATTGATAAAAAGAGCAGTAGGATTAGCGAAGGACCGACTGTGCTTTGGAGTGATACCGAGATATCGTTTTGCAGCGGATTAAGCCTTTGGTTATGAATTGGGACATGGCCTTCCACTGCATCGGAGCAAGGGTAAGCGGGGGTGGGGACGTTAAGTTTTGCACTTTGTCCTCTTGGAATTATAATGAATCAGTAATCTGAGGGGTTGCCATTAGAGTCCATCCTCCAAGAGCTCAATAGGGTCTGGCTTAAAATATTCCGAGCTCCAGGTAGTGAATTGGTATCATTAAATTCCCAGGAGTACACTACCCTCTTTCAAGCGCCTATCCTGCTCAGCAGATCACAATAATATTCTAGCAGGTACTATGCTATACACTAGTATAAATTTAAAAGATCTATACTCCAGGCACTTTAGAGGATACTATCAACTTAGGTAAATTTATGTCTTACCATTCCGGTCGTTCCACTGGTCCACTCCAAAAGCCTGATTCAGGTCCGTGCACTCAGCCCAAGTGAAATAACATGGTCTAAAGCACGCTTCACCCCGCACTTGATTCAACCCCGCAGACGATAAAATGTCAGTCATCCAGGCGGGCGGGGGCTGGCGGGGAGGCAAGCGGGCACAAGGTGTCATCGTGGGGTGTCACTCGGTGTCGGCCTGATATTGGGCGGTGTTGTAAAGGGGGGGGGGGGGGGAGGAATAGAGAGTAGAAACCAGGGCAGGCGAAAAGGAAAGAGACGAGAAGAGGAAATAAGAAAGGAGGTAGAAGAAAAGGGAGCTTAGAAAATAAGTGTAGATAGAGTTTGGTGAAGCAAAACAGCTGCAAATCATCACTGTCACTGTGGAGAATACGATAGCGCAAGCGCGATTTCTAATGCCACATGAGTTTAATCCATTGCATATCACATACTCATGTGGTTGGATTCTTGTTGCGGTATGAATATACTTGGTGGAGATAGTGCTTCTGTATCGTTCTGCTTTGCAAATCTTGAGAACACAACCCGGGAGAAAACATAAATGTGTGGTGTAGCTCATTGTGAAAGAGGTAAATTCTTGCAAATAAAAAATAAAAAGGAAAAAATAAGAAATAGAAGGGAAATACAACCCTTCTCTATTCTCTAAATACATCTGCACATTTGAGCTAACTCCTGTGTCATTATTACTCCCATCTCTCGAAAGGCCTTAAACCTTATTTAGCTTTTGTAGGGTAGATGGGCTCCCTTTGGGAGGAAAGACACCTTTTGGTCTTTCTGGCACCTCCCACAGGACTAAAAAACAGCAATCTACTACCCAGGAAAGGGTGGGGGAATCATGGGCGGCAGATAGCAATATTTAATGTAGTCCCACCATAATTAAGGATGCTCAAGGCTGTGTTCAGGTCTCTATTACTCTTGCGGCACAGCAAGAAGTGCCAGAAAGACCTAAAAGTGTGTTTCTGCCGAGTGGGTTCCCTTCCACCCTACAAAAGCGAAATCAGCTATAGAGCCTTTTAGAACATCGGTCTAGTAATGATTCCGCAGTTCTTGCAAATAGGTAGAGGTGTTTAGAGAATAGAGAAAGGGTCTTGAATAGATGGAATGATGAACTAGTATTAAAGGATATACGGGATATACGTTGTGGGAGAATGTGGAAAAATAGAGGGAGGAGTTTGACGTCTTCTGCTTGATCATTTTTTCTATCTATGGGGCAATAAGGGGGGTTTATATAGAGCGATGATGCCCATAACCACAATCAGAATGCCTATCAACATGCCGTGAAAAAATCCTCCCTATCCTAAAACATGACCTCCCAGGATTTCTGGTATCTCTCTTCTCTTCCGAGGTCCAGCTCGGACAGAAGTTCTCACACCCGTATCCACTATAACCGGTGTACCGAGCCTTACCGAAAGACTGCCGAACACTACCAGCAGGTATCCAAACCCCCGATAGAGACCATTCCCGTATTCTGAAACTGAACATGAAATAAAGCTATACTAGCAGGAGAAATCTCTGCTAGTGTGAAACTCACATACAAAGCCACCAACCGCCATCACCAACCAGGTTGACCAACAAGTTCTAGAACAATCAAATGACAAGTGAGTACCCATGACTTTCAATAACTAGAAGAGGTTGTATTTTCTTCTACTCCTGATTTTATTTTTATTTTTTGTTCACTGGAACTTTTATATTTCACAGCTGGGTGTGCCGCACCTTTGGGTTTTTTCACCAGTTGGGCTCCTGCGATCGGTGATGCAGGGCTACATGGAAGATATATGTCCACCTCGTGTATTCATGCCCTAACCTGCTTCAACTATATGGGTACACAATGTGTGGTGGATTAAAGACATCGGGTATTGGAAATTGTACTTGCCCATCAGTATTGCCCAGTGGTTAGATATCATCTGTTTTTCACTGGAGAATAGTCATAGAGTTGCCTTGGCTGTCATCATTGGTTGTGGAGTTCGCCTGTATTCTTTGCTCTCTTCTGTTTCCTCTCTTTTCTCTTCGTTTCTCTCTCAATAAGCTATTTTTCTTTACACTAAAAAAAAACCAATGAAACTTGTCTTAACAGGACTCTCATTTGATATTGAATTTCTCTTGGGCTCACCTTCCTTAAAGCTCTTCCTGAACTTCCGGTACCCAACAGTAGCTGTGGAAAAACTTCACTCCGCCTACAGCTCATCAGATGCGGCTCGCCACAGATCATTTCCAACACTATTATATTACTATCACGGGTTGTCACTCATGCCTGCTTGTGTCACCAACCACTGTCTGCCCCCATTTCGCATCTTTTCTATAAGCAATACAACTTTCTCGCTTCTCCATTCTCTGCCCTTGGGCCCCCTAGGGGGGTCACGCTTACCTAATCTGAGCCCTAACCTACTCGAGTATGTGTGTTTTTTTTATCCTTATTCTGAGTAACCCGTTCTTATGCAGGTGTATTTTCCAGTCTTTCCGAGAATGCCTGTCCCTTGAATATCTCCCCCCCGAGAATGAAAGTTCAAAATAATTGGCAACCTCAGACGCAATTTAGTCTGTAGCTGCTTGCTAGAAAGTTTAGGTTTTCTGAGTGACTCAGCCTCAGTTTGGGTTGGGTAGGGCTGAGTGGGCTAGATATCGCTTGGGCTGGGTTTGGGGTGGGTTTAGGAGTATACCGCCGGGGTCAGCCTATCACTTAGCTTAGGAAAGGAAGGGAAAAAAGAACTAATTCAATCATATTTTTATTGCGCCCCCTCTAACCAATCCCCCCTACAATGCTTTCATGCTTTCAAACATATAGAGTTGTCTCCGGCCTCCACATACTAGTAGTAATAACTCTGCTAGTATTGAAATCTCGACAACTACACCATCACATCGCAATCGAAGAAATTACCCTTAGAAAACTCCTCTCAGTCGAGTGGCCATCTCCAACTCAAATCTCTGTTACTCACACGGACCTGCAAAGATCTCACCCGTAATGTCTGTTCCTGGTGGGAAATCGTGCTCGAAGATTGGTTCTCCTTGCCCCCTCATATTGGCAAGGACTGATTGGCGGAAGTGCCATCTTAGAAGTTTGTCGGAGACGCAGTGAGGATTGGCCGGGTCTCTGCACACGGGATCGAGAATCCTACCATCAAGCCCATCAACATCGCTGTTAAACACAACCACTTTGTAGCCATCGTCAGGGTTAACGGAGACCAGGTACTGATCAAACAGTTGGTGGACATGCGACCGGGGAGGGGGCCCATTTTGTGCCGAATCGATCTTCGAGCATGGTGGAGAATCGTCCATATCTGTGATCCATCGCCCAAAATCCAAATCAATCCAAATACTTTCACCGTGCACAGGGAAGAGATGAGCGGCCTCGTAAGAAATCCAGTCCGAAGCTTGGATACTAAGGTCAGAATTTATCATGCCAGATATAACACATTTCGGGTCACGAGCGCGGATTTCATCGCGGAATCTAGTCTCCTTGCCGGAGACGCTGCGAGAAAAAAGCCGGTGCAGCGAACGCTCATTGCTAATTTCGATACGGCCTGATAAAAGTAGTTAGGGGAACTTTCGACCAAACGAGAGTATTCTAGGTTTAGGGGGAAATGTAGCTCGTAGGATTTGTGTGGGATCAGCAGTGATGGCTTCGCCAAACTTCTTCCGGCCCCACCACACAGTACATACCATCACAATATATATCGTACGCTCCAGTTGCAAGGGGAGTGTTGGTTCTAGTGACAACGTAGCCCGAAATCCTTGCTTGAACACGCACAGTACCCTCCTGAGTCACAAGCAGGATGTCGAGGAAAGAAAGAAAGTTTGCTTCCGTTATAGAACCGTTTTGACAGAGACCTCCCAAAACCACGTCCGGATTGGTGGCATCCTAAAAATGAGTATTGTGTAGGGCGGAGCGAGAAAAAGCCATTGCATATTTTGGTGGTTATCACTAGTTCGGACGTGACGTTGAGTTAAGAAGGGGTGGATCGAGTTGAGAAGGATGGGATTGAGTGGAGAAGGGGTGAGTTGAACTTAGAAGAGGTGGTCTGAAAAGGTGGGAACGCCAAGACCCTCTTTGTGTTTTCCCAGTCCAGTGATGATGCCCTGTCGCCTACCGCAAAACCGGTAATTGGGAAGAACAAGAATACGGTAGCACGGGTAAGAAGGCGCTGCTGGAAGAGAAATTTCTTCAAAGGGTAATAATATGGTGCAATGCAGCTAGAGTATGGACCCGGCTCCATGCAACATGTAGCACTGAACCCTTTGAGGAAGAAGGGCAAACGCCGAAAAAAAAAACACATATTTCAAAATCATGGAATAGTTTTAATTCATCCTTCCTCATATCTTCATTTCATTATTAGTTCAGAAAGGCGGAAATGGTCACAGTTTGAAGAGATCAAATGAAAGCAAAAAAAGATTGTCAAACTTGGTAAAAATTATGTTGGTGTAATGCGCATTATGCAGTCAAACTGGCCGTTTATACTAATTTCCAGTAGAGGCAAAAATTCTGCCGAACTCCTAGGGCAGCGGTTGGAGCTAACACAATTCTTTGAGGGGTGGAGGAGGCCCTGGAGCCAACTAGTGTAGGTTCGCTGATACAAGTGTAGACTTTTTTTTTTTTTCAAAATAATATGGATGCCCAAGGACGTAACAAGATATGCTTACATAACCAAGGCCACCTCTACTTCTGTCAAGAAACACACTACTTCCTCTTAACCCCCCTGAGCTCTACAAAACTTTATCTCACCACCCCCACTTCTGTCAAGAAACCCACCACGTCCGCTTTACCCCCCTGAGCTCTGCAAAACTTTATCTCACCACCCCCGATACGTCTATTCTAAAAGGCCTTTAGAAACATAGGCATTCCAGAATCTCCCGACCTCTGTCCTACACCTTTTTCCAAGCCACTCCCGCTATCACGTTTACGATAATCACTAATACCAACAATGCCCTTGGGTCGCTGCCAACGCAATGTCTCTTTTTATGATGCCGCCCGCCCTGATGTAGTCCTTGGAGGGTTCTTCCAGAATGGCTCTATAACCGAGGCAAACTTTCTTGACATCCTCGAAATCTTACTTGTCGTTACGGGGGGTCCTCTACGTGTTCAAGAGAGGATATCAAGCCATCTCGTATCCAGAACAGACATGCCACTCGAAACGGGAGTATACGATATTTATTGTGATGGTATGTGCTATATTCGCCCTATTTAATAGGCAGCCCAATTGCTAATTCCACCAGCCATCATCCAGGTCAGTGATGAGCCTTGGACACACCGGTTAATTTCTCATGTTGAGCCCGTTGGAGAACATGGATTCTGTCATGAAGTCCGCCATCACGACAGAAAATGTGTTATTTCGGGACTATCAAATCCTGAAATCCTTATCCAGGCCGACAGCTGGATAGCTTTCAAGGCTGTCCATATCTTCCCCTCCGAGGATGAAAGTCTTTGGATACAGTCTGATTATCAATGGTGGATCACCGACATGGACGATGCCAGCAGATCTTCGAAGATCAACTCACCTCAAAACTGATTCCTTCTCCAGAGTACTGCTCGGCAAATGTTCAATCAGTACCTGATCTCCGTTAATCCGGACGATGGTTACAAGGTAGTTGTGTTTACCATCGATTTTCTTCAATGGGAGGGTAGAATTCTTGATCCTGCATGCCGAAACCCCGCCGATCCCCACCATGTGTCTGATCAGCTTCTAAGGTGGCATTTCAGCCAATCGGTCCTAGCGAATGACAGAGGAGCAGGAGAACCGACCTTCGAGCACGACTTCCCACCGGGGACCGATATGGGGGGTGAGATCAATGCTGGCCCGTATGGACGAGAAAGATTTGAGTTAGAGATAGCCACTAGGTTGCGGGGGGTTTCATGAGGGCTGCTGTCTCGGCCCCGGGGCGATTCTGCGGCTGACGATTTAATAATACTGGCCACGTTATCGTTACATTTTCTACCGGCTGGGCAGTATCGCAGCTGAGATTTTGCAAGTGAAAAATCGTCATGAACGCGAATATCAACTAGACGTGCTAATAAAAAATGCCATTTAATGGGCGGTTTTCTGGATATATTATCTCTCTTCGCACCTATCATTAGGCTAGCTATTGTCCTGTGGCTTGGGGTTGTTGCTTTTGGGCGGGTAAGGGAAGGGTTTTGTCACGGCCACCTAGCCCGGTATAGGAGAGGGACATTGGGTTTTTCGTTGCATATATTGGTTGTGGCTTCTTAGGTTGCGCAGTAGGGTTTCTTTGGTTTAGGATGATGGGGATAGGTTGCCGCGCGACGGAGACTGGTGGAACCTGACGGAAAGATCGTGGCTGCGTGCCACGCCAAGAGTTTTCTTTTGTATTACTGATTATGGAGGATTTCCTAGCTATATAAGGGGGTGTGCCCCCTTATATTTTATGTTCTTTACGCAATCTGGTAATCTCCTTCGGACACCCTTTCTTTCGTTCCCGCGCGGCGACGATGAAGCCTTTCTTCTGATACTCGTGGGGGAGTCATCTGGGTTCGCCTAGTAGTCCTGCTGGTTGAAGTTGATGTTGGTCGAGTCGTTGTTTGGTGTTTCGTTTGATTGTGGTACTTGTCTCGCCACCCCTTGGTTCGTCTCTATCGTGAGGCTGTATGGGCTGGGGGGTCCTCTTTCTTGCTTTACGAGTCTTCTCTTCGGTAAAATGTTTCGGCTTTCCTGTACTCGTTACCTCGCAGGATTTCGCGTTCGTTGAGTTGGTTGGGAGTGGTTGTTGTGGGGGGATCACCCTGTCGCTGACAGGATCGGGCGCCTCCATACTTCGTGTTGGAGTTCTAAGGCCCACCCTTTGGTTGTTTCACGCGTTGTTTCCAGTGACACTAACGCCTACAGAGTTGATTGATGACCTCTCTGTACCTTTAACTCGTCGTACCGATCGCATCACACTTTTACGGTCGGGTCCTACCTGTTATGTTATGGGTTGGGATACCTGATTGTCGACTACATTCCACGGTCGGAATCCTACGATGTTGTTTCCTCCCGTTCCCACGATGTTTTCCGTTCGTGTGGCTGTTACGGGTGGTTGTGGGGTCTACTTCCTCGCCTGCATTGGGTGGGGATGCCTTTGACCCTGGTGGTTGCGCCCCCTCTCTTGACTTCTATGGTTGGGACTGTGGTGGTGGTGGGCGATTGGCTGCTGGGCTCCCTCGCGTGGGGGCCTTGGCAATAGCCGTGTTGGGTGTTGGAGGGCCTTGGCGATCACACCCATTGCAAGTGTGGTATTCCTCGGCTCGCTTAGCCTGGCTGGTGCTTACTCTCTACGGTCGCGACTGTTCTGAGGCTGGTCGTCATGATAATGCTGGTCTGGGCCTGTTTCCTTTGGCCTGGATATTCTATGCCTGCCTTCCTGGGTTTACGCTGCTCGGGTGGGTGGATGAGTGGGCTGTTGGCTGCCGTGTTGTATGCGGCCTCGGTTCCCCGAAGTGGTCCTTCCTTGGCCTTCGGGCGTCTTGGTTTGGATCCCACCTGGTTGATTTGGCCGGGTGTCCCTGGGGCTGTCCTCCTGACTTGGGAGCTTGACGCCCGTTGATCTAACCTGCACCCCATGTTTCCTCGGTAATTGGCTGGTTGTTATGGCCTTCGCTAGTCGTTCGGGCGGTGGGCTCTGTGGGGCCGTGGCTGATACGTGTGGCTGCGGTTGGGCTGTGGCGGTGCTGGCAGACAATGGCCGGCCGTCATGGCATCGGATATATATAGTCGCCCTGAGGTCTGGGTTGGGCTTCGGCCTGATGCGGCTTGGTGACTGGATCGGTGTTGCGGTGCTGCGCCTGGGGGCGCTCGGTCTGGCGGACCTGATCTGCACCTAACACATTAGACGACCTGAAGATGCGCTTGAGGCATTGCGCTCGGAGCCATGTTGGGCTAGGCGGGAGAAATAATACTGGGAGCCGGCCCTCGACTGACTTTGTGACAGTGTGAGGTACACCGTAACCCCCTGGAGCCTGGATGGTGGTTGGATGGTTGTCGGTTGTGTTAGGGGGTGGTGATGGTTTTGCTCTCGCTATCTGAGTCCGGGTCCTTGGCAGTGGGAAAGAGTGGGAGTCCTGTCTTGGGGAGGGCGAGGGAGTTGGTGGTGTCGCTGGGTTGGGTTTCTTTGGGTTTCGTGTTGTTTCGTTGGTTTGGTTGCTTGGCTGGGATGTTGGTGGCTGGTTGGGGGTAGGATACCACAGGTGGGAGATAGGCCCCACTGACTTTCACGGTCTGTCGTCGCCCCCTTTATATTTACTTTGTGTTTTGTCGGGACCCTGGTTTGTGGGGTCCCAAGATTGTTGATGTGGTGACGGTTGTGGTCAGCCCTAGGAGCCTTCCGGGTTGGTTAATACGGTGCAAGGGGTGTGGCTGCTATGCCTGCCTCGACTTGGCTTTGAGGAGACTGGCTTCGTACCGCCTCTGTAGGTCAGACAGTGCTGGAACGCCTTCTTGGTCGCTGGGTGGGGTTGGGGTGGGGGGGATTTCCTTTGTTATGTTGTTATGAGGATTTTAGGTGCGAGGCGGGAGCTGTGCTGCCCGTGGTAGTGATTTTTTATTTGTGCTGGGATTCCCGTGGCCTGGCTAGGTGGGACGAGTGGGTGCCGGACTGTTGATGGACTTGTACTTTAGCTTTGGTGTTGGTGCTCGCTCACCAGGGTGGTTAACGGTACGGGGACAGAGGATCGGTATCTTGTATTTAGTTGATATCCGGCCCGCGCTAACTCCCGGCCGGAGGGGGACTAGATCATAAGCCATGTATGGCGCGACTAGTATAAATAAATTTAGATTGAATTCGGACACCTGTACTTAGGAATTACACTCTCTTCTACTTCGCGTCCTCCTGAACCTCTGAACCCTGACCCTGAAC